TTCTTTATGTTTTTTTAAACCTTTTTTGGAATTTGAGAGGGATTTCTTACGGGATTTTGCTCACCCCCTACAACATACTTACAGATTTTAGCATAAAAAATAATGTCAATATGGATGAATAGGTTGATTACGAGTCATTTGAAGATTAAAATGTGGACTCTGTTTTAAAGGAATAGAGTTATTTTATTTTTGATTTAGAGTTTGAGGGATTTCTATGAAACAATGTTTTAGCTAATTTTAATCATTTTCGCTGCTAGATACTATTTGGTTTGGAATTGTAAGTTCACTACAACAAATTTGTTTTTTAGCGACAAATTGACTAGTCGCAAAATGTATAAATTTCGTTGCAAAAAAATTTCGGCAATAGACTCATTTCGTCACCATTTTGTTGCCTTAGGCTCGTCTTGAAAAGTTTTCAGCGACAACAAAACTTTCGTTGCCAAAATGCACAATAGGCGACCATAATTTTGTCACCAAACATGCTCTTATTTGGTCGCCAATGTTTTGTTCGTCGCCAAAAAATAAATTATTTTAACCACATAAAATCTTTAACAACGATTATATTTATCGCAAAAATGTGAAAATTTCAGTGATCGTCTCTATTTCGTTGCTAAAAATAAGCACACAAAATATTGGCGACAAATATATTTGTCGCCCAAAAATGAACATGATTAAATCTCATTTGGCCCTATAACAATTTAAAAACATCTATAACAACTCAAAAACATTCCGACCAATTTCAATCATGCACCCATGACAATAGATAATCCATCAAAACACATCACAATTACTAAAACATTCATACATTACTCAAAATATAAAATAGCATCCAACAATTTTCAATAGCATCCAACAATATTCAAAACTTCTAACAATATCCAAAACTCCTAACAATATCCAAAATTTTCAACATCCAATATCCCAACATCAAAAATTTCAACAACAAAATATCTCAAATATTTGAAAGAAAATATGTCTGGATATCCAAAAAGAGCTCTTTACAATCCATCGTCAATCTGTGACAAACACAAAAAACTCATTAACGCAATATAGATAAGAAATAAAAGAAAAAATATATAAATTTTGAGTTTATAGGTTAATAAATTAATATTTGACTAAGTATATGATAATAGCAAAAAAAAACATAAGTCCATAGTTAAAATCAGTTACCAAGATAAAGTTGAATTGCTCAACTCTCCAATGCCCCTACCACGCTGCACTGCTAACCTCACATCTATCATTTGTTGCATCATTATTTCTTACCATTTCTCCATTTGTTGGAGTTTTTCCTTGGTTTCATGCAGCTCTCTCTTCAAACTCATCAGCTTCTCTTCATTTGCAATAGTCTTAGACGTCTTTTTTTAAGAAAGTTTCGATCCAACCCCATAAGCTTTCTTATAGACAGACTTGCAGCCAAGGACAATGTATGAAGTATCCTCCTCAGACATATGTGATTTACCATTTTCTGTGGACTTGTCTCTTAATTCCTTCATCTGGTTCTAAAATTTTAAAAAATAACTGATAACTTGTTCACAAAACGAAACTTATCAACCTTATAAATCTCAAATACAGTAACATTGAGAAAATTTTTATATTTATGTATCGAGACTCAGCTTCTTGTGATATCTATTTTTTCGACTTCTTGCTAAAGTGAAATTCATGAAAGAAATCTACAAAATGAAGTGGCTCCTAGGTCTCGGGATCTTTTTGTTTTAAAAAATTATATAGTTACAACACTTTAAATAAGATAATATACAAAAAAATGTATAAGTTAAAACACTTAACCATAACATGCATTGCATATGGAAAGGATTTGGAACGCATAGCATGATTGTAGAGTAGCTTGGCACGATTTGCAGAATTTATGTTAAATCGTTTCTACATAAAAAATTTAACATAAGTTAGTGTAGGGACAATATCCAATTGCAAATAAAACCAGCAACATTAGTGATAAAATATCAAGTTTTTACCTGAAATTCTGGATCCTTGAATACGTGCTCGATTATATAATTTCAATCATCCTTACTAATTTGTTTGTAGGGTTTAGTTTTTGGGTCCAAGCCAGTCTTCACCAATTGTTTATAGTGACTGTGCATCTTAGAACGATGGTTACTATACAAATGAGCAAACTTAGCTTCAATGTTTTCCCGAATACATTATGACTCATCTTATCCAACAATGTCAAACTTTGTCTGTACAAAAAAATAGTACATCATTTTTAACAAAAACTATGATATTAATAACGAATATAATAAAATAAGTATAATTATTCGGAGGCATGCAATGATAGAGACACGCATGTCATCAGACAAATCATTCCATATGGTCACAGTAATTGGGACGAAAGCCCTAGCCAAGGCTCCCATCTCATTAATGCAACTTTATGCATTTTCCCTGACCAAGACATTCACACCAATAGGGATCTCGACAAGCAGCTTCTCATTTGCCTCCATCATCTTCTCTACAGCCTTTCCTCGTGTAGGACCTCACCCCTTCTTTGAGGTCAACCCTAACATTACCAAAATATAATAGATGAATAGAAAAAAATATTTTAAAAGTGTCTAATGCAAATGAAATCATACTTGTATTGCTAGCTACAGTATGTGGACTACTGGTGGTCAATATCAATGATGGATATTGCACCTCCTCACGTGCAGTTGCAGGTATAGATAAGAGTTGGGTCGACGAACTAGAGCCATTTATGTTTCCTAAAACATAATGATACATGAGTCATTATACAAATAATCAATTAGATATACAACAACTATAACAAAACAACATATTACGAAGAAAATTTGGACACCCTAGATTAATCAGAGAATATCATGTCCGATTCTGAAATAATTATCTTACTAACTCTAAATATCAAGTAATTGAAGAATGTCTTAAAGACATGGGAAAAGAGGAAGAGGAACCCTTAACCTCAACTTCTAAAGAATTAATTCCCAGCAGCTCCGGTATAAATATTGGATTTAATGCCAATGAAATTCTCAAAGAAAAAATTAAAAAAGAAAAACCTCATTTAAATACTAAGCAGCTTAAAGTGCAGTGTTGGATGAAATGCATCTTCAGGTGATGTCTACTTTTGGTATGGGCAAAACCGGGAAGATAGATCTAATAAACAATCCAACAGTTGCCATAAAAGGCAAAGGGAAAGAAAAAGTCGAGGAGGACAATAGGAAACCCAGCACTCCTATTGACTCTGATGATGAATTTATGGATTCTCATGGATATACCCCTCTTAAATGTGACATCTCCATTAATGAAGATTTACTTAATGATGATATAGAGATAAACTTCCAGGATAACGGCAATATGCTGTATAATTTATTTTACAGGAAATTGGATAAAATCGAATCTCAAGAAGTGACGAACGTCAGGACGTCACCAACAAATTATTGTAATATGTGACGTAAGCAGTGACGTCGCAACCAGTAAAAATTGTGTATAGTAAAATTTGTGAATAGTTTAGGCTGTGTTGAAATCCGAATTTTGGATCCGACTATATAAAAAGTGATGCAAATCCAGCTTGTTGAACACATCTCTCATATTCACCGACTTCCTTCCTTCTTTCCCCTCTCTCTCCTTCTTGCACCCACTTTATACCTTTTAATAATAACCTCCCCCTTTTAGTCTTGCACACTCTTGTATCATAGCCTTCATCTCTCTTGTAATATAACAGACTTCTTAAGGCTTGTCTCCAATCACTGTAAGTTTGAATCTTTGTATTGTATAAACTTTTCTTGTGAAATAAAAGCTTGCTTTGTTGTGATATTTGAACGATCCAGTCCATTTTGATTCGAGCATCTAAAACTATCGTGTATAGAAATAAAAACTTTGTTAAACTATAAATTAAATAAATATTAAATGATTTAACATGTGATAGAAATGTGTAATATGATGTTTTGGAGAGAAAATATGTAGGAGATAAAAGTTCAAGTTAGAAGCTGTTTTATTTTATATATATATATGAAATAAAACAACTTCAACTTTTATTCCCTCCAAAACATATATATATATATAATAAAACAACTTAAACTTTTATTCCCTCCAAAACATATATATATATATATATATATATATATATTGGAAAGAAAATATGTAAGGGATAAATATATATTCCTATCCATCAGTCTATCTGTAAAAACAATAATTATAAGAAGAGAGATGTATAGAATTGAGCTTCTATGGTACAATCCAAGAGGTTCTGATTGGTGCATGTGGGTTGTAGTGGTGGTGAGAAGAGAAGTGCACAAAATTATAACAAATACACTTTGATTTGCGTAATACTGTTGGGATTTGCAAATATTCAGTGCCCATCACTTAATCTAATTTATTTGTAGATCAGACCACTATCCACACCTCTCTCTCTCTCTCTCTCATACACATGCTGATGACTCTCCATTTCTTAATGACTAAGAAATGGTACATGATCGACTGCAGATTGTTTTAGCTCTTCCTTTAGGCATGTGACAACTTTTATTTCTCATGCACAAAGTGGTGAATATTGTAACGAATGCAAAATCAGACTAATGCCCTCTATGGGGCCTATGACATGAACCATACTCTACTTCTATGCACATGCATTTCCATCATTATAACCATGGTGGTAGCGTTGATGGTATCTACCATATGGTGGGGCTTCACCATTGCTGCTTCATCCCTGATTTAAGTACTTGGGAAGGAGGAAGAGTCGGGTCTACGAAGACTCCTTAGAAAGCCACCAACATACAGTAATCTTTGCAGGGAGGGAACTCCTCTTTTTTTTAGGGTGAAGAAAATCAGAAAGTAGTAGTTCACAGCTATTTAATATCTTCACTTCCATAGTAGGGACCCCACCCTGCACCTCCTCCTTAAAAACTAGCCATCCTTGTCCATTTAAGAACATATTCTAAACCAACTCTAACCACCCGCTCGCTGAGCTCGAAAGAGTAATCGACACAAACCTAAAAATCTTATAGCCAAAAAAAAAAAATTATATATATATATATATATAAGTACCTCATCGTGACTTTATTTTTGGTGGTTTGTTCTTCCTCTATTTTTGAGTCACGAAAAAAAAAGTCTTGATAGAAGTGTACAGACCATATATACTATATGCATCTAACCCTCTCCCGACTTCATAACAAAATGAATCTCATATATGTAATCCATCGTTTCAACAACCTCCGAAATCAATAGTGGTATTACAAAAGTCATACACCATGGCTGTGCGTAGGCCACATAATGGTAGGTCCTTGAGATAGCCAAGGGAAAACTACAACAGAGGTCATAATATAGCTCTAAGGGGTCAGTAAATCCTATAGCTCTCAAGCTAAGTAAAGATTCACCCATAACTTGATCGTGGTTGGCCTGGGATTTCTAGTATCACGTATACGCAACCAAAACTGTCTAAAACTTGAAATCCTTTTTCTTCGATTTCCCATCCTTTTCCTGCATCTTCCGCTTCCTCTTATTCGCATTCTGCACCAGTTTCAAATCATTAAACAAATTTCCCAAAAACTCTGACAAAATACAGAACAAAAATTAAAAAACAACACGCACCTCAGCAACCATGTCACTGAAATCCTCCCGCTGACTACGCAGCTTCTCTTCCTCCCTGGCTTCCTCGTACCTGCAAAACACAATCAAAGAATAAACCACCCTGCAGAATGCCTGGATAGTGAAACAATATGGGCAGATATTGCTGGAATTACAACAGCCTCAGGCTCTCTCTACCATGAAAAAAGAATGGAGAACCTGCAATAGCTTTTAGAGACAGTAACACCGGTCAAGAACATTAACAAAGGGTCCACTTACTTGGCTGGTAATACATTGTCCATAAGTTCCAGCTCTTCTGGCGCTAATGTGACATCAACTCTATCTGATTTCTGACCTCTAAGCAGATCAACCTGAAAGCAGAATCACAATGTTAAAGGCACATCATTGAGCTTGTCAATAATTATATCTTGTAGTTACTATCCGGACACTAGTTACTAATTAATAAATAACTGCTTCAGGCCTCAGTTTGCTAACCATATCGGAAAAATACATGGACGAACAAAATGTCTATAAAAGCAAAAGTAAACAACACAAGCATGAACCTGCAAGAGTATAATGTAGGTCTCCATTCCAGGTCAATTTTAAGAAAATTGTGATTTAGGTAAAATTAGCATGCTTCCTACTTTGCAAACCATTATATGAATGTAGACAAACATATCTGAGCCCATATGCAACTCATATACAAGGGCTACACACAAAAACTAATGCAGGGCCTCCTACTATATGTACTAACATACACCTCTCATCCCGTCAATGCAGTACTCAGAAAAGTGACCGAGTATAACTTGGGCAACCTAGGCCAATTCTGCATAAACATGGTTTAGAAATAGGGCAACCACATTTTGTCTTGCCAAGCCTCTTAGCTGAATGGAATCCTACAAAGCAGGATTTCTAGTACTATCAGTGCTTGTAAATGGGTAAACTACACTGGCTATCCAAGGTCACACAGAATACAATATGAAGACAGTTTGCATTTGCTCGGTCCAAATGACACAATTTGCCTACAATTTTATTCTCTGTTGGGTATAAAAACTTATTTTAAGTCAAGGTTTCACCATTCACTTCATAGAACTATCAAAAGTAAAGCACGATTATGACTTCCCCACAAACAGGGGAATTCAAATGATCAATCATATGGAGAGAGAGCCATTCTTTCAATAACAAAAATTTTTATGAGGTAAGCTCTGTCGGGGGGAGAATTACTATCAAGATGTGACATGAATATACCACATCTTTCTCTTACTAATTATTCACCAGCCCTGGAGGATTTCCCTGTCAGTGCATAACATTTTTAACCAGGATCACCACAGTATACTTTCTCTTGTCAGTGTAGGATTTTAAAAAATAGATAAATAAATGACTCTACATACAAGCACAAAACTCTATATTGACGCAAAGGGAAAAAAAAAGGTAATCAAATCTCCTTGCCCTTTTGGATGCTGCTGCTTTGTCTTGCATACCACTGCCTATTACATATCTGTAGGCAGGAAAGTGTAAAGGAAAATTAAACTCGAGATTAGATGGGAAAAAAAAGCTCCTAAACCGAAGTTCTAATTTTTGTAAAAATATAGCGTACGTATGAGCTGTTCCGAGTAATGTCCCCGGAGCTATCTTCTCTTCTTTCTCTTCAAGTACCTTCCAAAACATGAAAAGACAAATGTGAGCTTCAGAAAGGACAAAGAAAAACTCATTGGGGAAAGGGTGAAGTCTCGTATGATGCACTCACTTGGTAGAGAGGCTTCTCAGGCTCCTTCCTCTGTTGTTTACGAAGGTCAATAACATCTGGAGTCTCAACACCAGTAGGAGTACTGAATAAAGAAAAGTAGAATAACTTATCCATCAGAAATTTTCTGAAGACATGTCAACAGACTTGGACCTCACCTTCCCTTCACTTATATCAATTGTGTTCTCGTTTTATCTTTACCCAACTTGCATCAAATATGCCACATAACCACCTAATATAAATGGTGAACCTAGAATAATAGACATGGTGCCTAGCCTAACCCCCCTCTATCTCTCGATTTTGAAGCTTTAACAATATACTCAACAATGCTAAGCAACGACCTGAAAATTTATGCTCATGTGTATTAATGTATGCACCCAAACACATTCAAGGACTTCAATAGTGGCCGACTCACAATCACCAAACTCTCCACACCACCTGTGACCTAAGACCATAATTGTAGAACACGGGTCGTAAGGGAAACCACATACCTTGAAAGACTATCTACAGATTGAATGCCAGCTTCCAATTCCTCTTCTTCAATCTCTTCTTCTACTTCCTCTTCCTCCTCTTCTTCCTCTTCCTCCAAATCACCCCAATGCTTAGTCTTATCAATTGGTTCCTCCTGAATAGTTAATCATACATAACATAAAATGAGAGAGAATGTGTAGTTACACACATACATATATGCTAATAGAAATCATTTGGGCACCACGTTTCAATTTTTTTTTGCAAAGTTCCAAACATTCAAAATTCCTTCCCCCCTCCTCCCCAACCCTTTTTTTTTTAAAAATAAATCAAACCCATGGAACCAGAGGAGAGGATATATGGCTTGAAGAGTCTTCCTTCTCAGGTCTCTTCCCATGATTGTATCGTGTCTCTTGTTATCGGGGTTTCGTGGTTGCATCTATGGTTCAGTCTTATTATACTCTGATTTCAGGGGATTTTGGCTTACATAGGAATCTTACTGATAGGGAATGTTCAGAATTCTTTCCTTGCTTCGTAATGTCACATTGGGTCAAAATTCTATGGATAGAAGGAATTGGATTGATAATTCAATTGGAACTTTTTCTTGTAAATCTTTCTCGAGTCTTTAATCGATGATCCTTTATTTCTTTGATTCTATCCATCATTGAAGATTTAGAAAGTGAAGGTGCTTTAAAAGTGCAAATTTTTGCAGGATAATTTATCATCCTAAGATAGTATTAGTGAGGTCCTTCAAAAGAGGAGACCTAATTATTGTCTCCAACCCCAATGGTGTGTCATGTGTAAAGGTGATAATGAAAGTCTAGACCATTTGTTTGTGCATTGCACTTTGGTGCAAACATAATGGAATAAGCATTTTGACCTCATGGGATTTTGTTGGGGGTGCTCCAAGGACTATGGAAACCAATGTTGTGAAAAGCTCGCCTAGGCGAGAAGCGAGGCGAGGCGATGCGAGCATATCTCGCCTGGAGGACCCTAAGCGAAGCGAACGTGAGCGAAGCGAGAAAAAAGCCAAAAAAAGCCAAAAAGCGTTCTCTTTATTATAAAAAACGAGAAATGTTTGGTTTTTAATTTGAACCGTTGGATTGGGAGATTGGAAAAAAAAATTATAAGATGAGATACACCGAATCATTCCCTTATCTAATAAACAAAACCACAAACCCTAATTTATCCCCTAATTTATACTCTTAGCTGCTCGTTGCTCAGGAGGAGGACTACACAGAAGCTCGAAGCTCGTTGCTCGCTGGACTCGATCGACAGAGGCTCTCTGTCGTTGCTCGTTGGACTAAATCGATCGACAGAGCCTCTGTCGCTGCTTGCTAGACTCGATCGATCGATTGCTCGTTGCTCCTACTGGATCGACTGGTTAGTCTTTTTCTCTCTTCTTCTTCTTCTCTCTTCTTTTTCTCTTTTTTTCTTCTGTCTGTTAGTCTCCTTCCTCACCGATTCTGCTCTCTTTTTTTTTTTTTTTTTCTGATCACATGTTCTGTCTTTTGCTCCTTCTTCACCAATGCTTTTTTTTTTTAATTTTTCTGATCACATTTTTTTTTTCTGATAAGCAATGCTCCGAACAATATTTCTTTTTTTCCTTGTATTGTTGTCTTGTCCATATGAAGATCCCACACAAAAGTCATGTGAATGTGAACAATATTACTTTTTTTTTTTTAAGCACAACTTGTTGCTCGCTGGATTGATTTCTAAGTCTTTGAGATAGTTTCTTTAGTTGTTTGAATTGTGTCTTATGTTTTTAAATATTAAGATTTGGGATATTATTAGTGTTTGTTTGAATTTAAATGTTTAAACTATGACTGTTATTAAGATTTGAGATATTATTAGTGTTTGTTTTAATTTAAATGTTTATAGTTTTACTTGCATTTAAATACTTAGTATATATAAAATTAGAACTTAGATATGTATAAGTAATTAAACTAAAATATTTATTTACTTTTTTAACCGTTTGCTTCGCTTCTCGCTTAGGCATTAAGAGCCTTGGTCGTTTCGGTTCGCTTTACGCCTTAAATAACACTGATGAAAACTATGTTTTGTTTGGATGATGTGGGAATTGGGGAAACAATAGATGGAAGACTATATGGCACAACCCTTTCTTTGCTACTCAATGGGTGATTTGTAAGGAAGGCAATGCAAGGATTTTTGAAAATAAATTTGAAGAGCCGAGGGGACTATGGGATAGACTTCACTTTTTAGCCGCTTTTTGGGCCTCCATGTCTAGATTGATTGTAGATATTCCTCTCCTTTGTATTAGGACAAGTTGGAAAGCATCACATGGCTAGTAGTTTAATCGTTTTTTGTATGGCCTGTATTTGTGTTGGACTTCTTGTCCACACTTGATTTGGTTTTCATGTAATCTTCGCTTTGATTTTTAATAAAATGTTTCTTATCGGGAAAAAAAAAATCAAACCCATATTAGGACTATAAATCATGTCGTGATCCTGTAGTTTGGTCTTTCCATTATCCATAGACCCTTTGCACAAGATATGGAGAGCCATGGCATTCCCACTAACAGATCTAATCCAGAAATGGAAGTTTGGCAGATAAATGATAGATGCTACTTATTTCCAACTACTACACCCAGCTGGCAAGATTTGCTCAAAAGAACTGTAATTTTTTCAGGGAAGAAAGGTTGGCCAGTACTCATAATAAATGAACTATAGAAAGCAAATAATAAAAATGATACAGTACCTCATAGTTGGGCTGTTCTTGTTGGTATTCACCAAAGACATCTCCATACAAAGGACGTCCATGCTATAACAAAGCAAAAGGGAAAAAAAAAACAAAGAAAGGGAAAAAAGAAAAGGTAAGACACCAAAACAATGTCACAAAAAATAAGAGTGAGAATAAATGAATTTATAAAAAAAATAAGAACAAGTGTAAGAGGAAAAAACCTACTTCGTCAACGGGTGGTTTGCCCCAGCCGCCAGGATGATAGCCAAAACTAGCTCCAGGTGGAATAGGAGCATTCAGTCCTGGGATTTTTAATTGTGGATAAGAAGGTGGAGGACCGTACCTCTGGCATTAACAAATGTCAGTTGAGATGAAAAAATTCAAAGCAAAGTATTTGATCTTTCATCAAAGAACACAAGGAGCAATAGCCCAAACTGAACTATGATGAATTGATGATCGAAATCAAGCAGATAACCAACCAAAACAGGCTATCTTATCTAACCTGCATATTGATGAGCCAAGGAGGAGGAGTGCCTTCTGGCATACCGAGAGCCTCTTTTAATTCCTGTGACAACATTCCTGGCTTCATCTCCCTTAACTTTACCTGTATAGCATGCAAATGGATGTAAAATGAAGCATATTGCATTCTCTAAAATAAACCACACTATTCCCACCAACGGTGCAATTAGAGGCCACACTATTGCCACCAATGGTGCGGTTAGACTTGATTCTACGATGAAGTAGAGAACAAAAAAATTATTGGGATGGTCAAGATTGCATTGGCTAATATTTAGGTCGACTGGACATACTAGAGAATAAGTAAATAACCACACAAAACTGAAAAGATAATTAATATGAGGAACGCCAACAAAATTTGCACATTAATGTCTGTTTATTAGACAAGGTCCATACCTCAAACTCTTTTCCTTCATGATACATATCACCATGTGTCGTCAGCTTTGGTTTTGTTTGGTATTTAAAAAATGCATCATGGAGAACCTACAAAGAAAAAACCATAAAACAGTAAGTGTCAAAACAGCATGAAAACAAGGGAAAGGACTAAACAAATATGCAGGCCAACAATTTCACTCCAAAGGACTAGGAAAATGCTAAGTCCTAACAATTTAGAATTAAAGAATTTGGAAAAACCTGATAATCAATATCCATTTTCCCCATTTTTGGTTGCATCCTCTCACGTTGCTTCTGTTTAAGCTTCTTACTATCCTCCTTTTCAATGTACGCCTGCATAAGAACACCACAAGAAAGCCCAACAGGCTTAAAACTGGTAACAAGAATACATACTCTTCAGATGGATTGAAAAATGTAAGTGATGAAAGGGAAAGAGATTTAAAGTATAATGGACATGGGCAGCAAGCAGGATCCAAATGCCAGGGGAAGAAAGAGATGAAGAATGCATGTTCATAGACATATCTATCAATGATATTTACTCTTTACTATATTTCATTTCATTTTTTGATAGACAATGAAATAGGGAATTAGGGATAGCATCTAATGCACTAAGCTGATCACACTGGCTTCCTCCACTATCGAAAGGAAGTTTCGACGCCATACTATTTTGTACTATATATTTAGTTACCACATTTCGCATGGACAGAAATTCAAAGTTCTATGAGGCTGAGGTAAGAGCTAAAATGAAGTGCCAGAAGAGGCCACCCTATATGCGGCAGGACCAAGCACCTGACCAGGCACATTTCAAGGGTAAAATTATCAGAAAAGAAAGAAACTCCATTTTCACAAGCATGAATAGATTTAACAGGTTAGAGCATCTCCAACAATAGTAGTTATTTAGCTACCCAAAAAGTAACTTTTTCTATTTTAGCTACTCACTTTTTCAATACACACTCCAACAGATTCTCTATATTTTTAACCACTCCTTTTAAATATTATTTATCATCCCTTTTGTATTATATTTTTTGGGAATAGTCAAAGGGAGAAAGAGAGAGAATAGAAGAAATGAGAGGAAGAGAGAGAAAATAATATATATTATGTTTATATATTGCTACAATGATGCTCTATATTTAGAGCATCACTATAGCAAAAATCTATTTTATAGCATATGAACATAATCTGTTGGAGTGCTGTTTTTGGCTTTGGTTAGCTAAAATTTGAGTATTTTGGGCATTTGAAGCATCTATTGGAGATGCTCTTATGTACAAAAACAATTTTATCTTCACCCCGGAGCCTCGACATAATTGTTAGTGATGGAAAGATATTGGTTTGACTTTGACAAAAAAAAAAATTGTTTCATAGCTCTATAGTTTATCAGCAAGAAAAATTGGCCATACGAGTCATAGCTATCCACTAATTTATTTTTATTTTTTGTTGGGATGGGAAAAAGAGCACATATCCAATTATCTAATAAGAGTGACTAGATATTCACAGCTTACGCGCATAATAAGAATTTACAAGTTACACCTAGTGAGTCAAGGCATGGTATTGGAACAGCTATGTAGACTTCTCAGTTTGAAAAGAGAGGGCATGATCAAATCAGTGCTCATTAAGATTGTTAAGCATGGCATCATACCATCTGGTAGGATCCAATGAGCGAGGAAAAAATCTCACTCAAAACAAACAGAAGGTCGCAATAAAAGCTTTTTTAGCATGTTCCAATTCATTATTAGAAAAATACCAAGCTATATGCTTTGTTGAGCAAGTTCGACCCACTGTTACTATACAGGCCATGAGATTGAGCTTACTTGTCTAATCTTCTCAATCCCAGTAGCAGCAATGAAATCAGGAAGTTGAAATGGCTGTTTCTCAATGCCACGCTTCCCCTGCAACATAAATGCAAAACCCAATGAGGTACAAGTAAACCAGCACATAACTTGTCAAGGAACTCTCCCCCCAAATCAGTCGGTTAAGAATTTTCGAGCCTAGTAGAGGAAACTTAATTAGCCCCAGCAGTTAATCACAAAGTGCGAGATTTGAAATTCAAAACAGCTTAATTAGCGTCTTGCAAGGAAGAAATCCAATGTTTAGCTCGCGGAAAAAGTATCTTATGCCAGACATGTTTATTTATCCACATATATTATCATATAAATGTCTATATCCCAACCCAAAACTGGTAAACATAATAAAAGAGAAACCATGCAAGGGTCCCCCTTTCCAAACACCTACATGTCCAAGCTCCATGATGGTCACAACCGCTCCCCTGCAAGAACCACATATATACATATAAGACAAACCTCATGGACGATATCTGCACCACCCTCTTCCTTAACCCTCATTTTTGTATGCCCAGCATCTTTATTAGTCAATCAGTTTGCAAAAAGCAACGAGTATTATCATCACTACTCAAGGTGTTCATTTTAGCTGCAGTAACTCACCTGCAAAAATTTCCTCTTCTGACTCCAATGCCTCGGTACTGGAACAGTATTTCGGTAAGATTTCAGAAAGACAAGCAGCTTAGGATCTGCTGAAGTAGCATCCCATACCTGAAAATATAAGAAATTATAAATTACTAAATGACAACAATGACAACAGCATAGTCATATCATCAATAATAGCAATAATATGAACTACAACAATTAGCAGAATAAAGGTATCGTGTTAACAAGAAACATCACATTAGGAAATCTCCAGAGAATTGACCACATCTCAAACTATGCACTACACAATAAAGGATCTCTAAATATTGGACCCGCTCATGATATTGTCAGTTATCTTTTCAGTCAAAGCTTGTTTATACTATAACTTTTTTTTCATCAGGAAAAAACCACTCTTTTTCTCAGCTGACGGTCATTTAGACAAACCGAGGTGATTCTAACAGAGAGTCCCCAATCAAAAACCCTCTCCAGAAACAAAACCATCTCTTTTGCCACATGAAAATAAAAACATAAAATAGCTCTAGGAATCCTCTGAAATCAAAAACCTTAACAAGTAACTACCTACACTAAATCTTCTGTAACCACTAATTATCTACCACATCCTTGGTTGATCCACTTCAAAATTCTAGCATTCCAACAGATTCAACAGCACATAGGATAGGAGACCAGCAGTTCCAAAACAACTAAGGAAGGATCTAATTTACAGTTTCAAACAGTCCCAATAGCATTATAAATGTTAAGTGAGGTTCACCAACTCATAATGCACAAAATGAGCAAAAATTTCAAAGTTGGGGAATGCTAAAATTGTTTAGAAAATGGAACTACCAATAAAATCAGTTGAAGGTGAAAAGGAAATGGAAGGTGAAAGGTTAGAGAGCGACAAAAGAATTTCTCTCCAACATTATATGCTTGGAAGACAAATGCACGAGAGAATGGTAGTTTAGAGCCCTAGAATGTACTTTCCTTACAATCGTTTTTTTCTGGATTAAAAAACATTAGACTTTACTGCCAAATATTGATTAAAAGGAACAAATACGGACACTAAATATTCCATATCACAGCAACAAGGTTGCCATGCACCCCACAAGGAGAGGTGTTCGAGCTCCACATTTTAAATCATAAGACTAATATCTGGAATGGCTGTAGATCTGAACTCTTCACTGATGTGTCTGTATACATCAGCCCACCCACCCACCCACCCCCCCCCCCCCCAAAAAAAAAAACATGATTACTGCAAGCCTGAAAATAAGTCAATATCATGGAAATTTCTGTCAAAAGAGAATGCCAACCAAGGAGACAACCACAACAAAGCCCGCATGATCTGCTTCAGTAAGGAGCATGCAATATTCAATTAAAAACAAGAGATCTCGGGACAAATTACGCACAAACATACACATGAAACCCTTAAAGTCGCAAAGATGGTCAGGGCAAAGGGTAATTCATATTTACCAAACCTCATTAGTACATGCTATACTAGAACCCATAAAAAAAAGTAAAATACACAAGGAATTGCATCATTCACCATCCATCCTCACCTCAACTACATCAGGCCTCGAGGAGATCTGTTTCAGGTCAGCAATCTTCATCCGACGCTGAAGCTGAGAGAGAGAACAATTTTTTTTAAAAAACAATGACATCATCATCACAAACAAGAAGACGACACAATAGATAGCAGAAAAGGTGCTACAACAAAACCTTTTTCTTTTTATTAGATACACTTTTCTCCTTTTGTTGGGCATCCTGTTCTTCCTCTTCTGAATCGGAGTCTGCGTTCTTCTTCAATGCTGCATCAGGGACAGTCTCATTCTTTTTATCACCATCCTGAACAAATTTGAATTGGAAAAAAGGGAGGGAAGACCAAAGAAAAAAAGTTAAGGCAAAGTATAATGAAATCTGTAACTTCCAATAGCAGATTTATATTCCTACCTCAGAACCAACGGTCTCCTTAAAGCAGAATTTCTCAAATACTTTTCTGAATTCCTCATCCAAGTCACCATCCAATTCTGCCTTCTCTGGGATGTACTCCACTTCAACTTGCTCCAGAGCCTATTAGTTCCAGAAGCAGGAAAACTACACAAGTTAAGGTCTACGCACAAAAACAAGCAACACGATAGAGTATACACATAGTGAAAACAAATTAGTGCTCACATCCTTACAATTGACTAACAAACGAGCCCTAATTGAGGGTCAAAATACTTAAAATAGATGAATTCATGAGACAAACAATAAACCAATTTACATTGGTACCAGCAGAAAACGTAACCATGCATTATTGAGCTATTCCTGAAAATTAAGGAGGGAAAGGTAAACTTTATTTCGCTACCCAACATACTATAGAGAAACAAAAGGGAAAGAAACATAAATCCATTCATTTTGCATCTTTATCCCCCAAAAAAACTGAAACACCCAGCAGATGCTATCATGTTATCATTCATTTTATGAAGAACGAAACAACAGTTATCGACTATAGAAGTGACTTTGTGTATCCTCCAAATTCCAAATACACAGTGATCAGAACACAATCTTTTAAGTAAGTTGTTCATGCTTCCCACTCAGTATCTCAATGTAGCCTGGCTGTACCAGTGTCAAACCTAATGCATCTCAACTTTCAATCAAAATCAACTGACAGTATATCCGACGCCCTCCAGAAAAACACAAAATACGGAAGAATAGGTCGCTAGTGCTTTCTTACTATTCAAACATTCTTCCAGAATTAAGAATCCTTTACAAATGGAAGTTTGCTAGAACAAATAAATAACCATAGAAGTAAGGATTCTACAGCCACATGCACAATAAGATCGAATACAAAACCCCACACTTTTGCACATTATACTAATAATTTGCTTCATAAAGTTCACAGAGAATCATGAGAAAACAATGAATAATAAGAAAAACACCATTTCTTTTTTGTTGTTTTTTAAAAGTATCTGCATGACTGACTGGACATAACATTTTGTGCAAATCTAGAATACTAATTCCCAGAATCCAGAGAAACCAACTCAGACTGCATTCTTGTAATTACTACAATAACTAAATCCCAGAAACCCTGCTCCAATTTTATTACTGTTCTTATGCAGGAAACCCTCGAGCTTCACCCAACAAAAAGGAACCTAAAACAATTATTGAACATAGATTCTCAACATAATCTCTAAACTGTTGAACATAAATCTCTAGTCATCACCATATCTCCAATAGAAAATCACTCAACAACTACTGCTTGGATATCAGAATGAAAAATGGACAAACAATAAAATCATGCATGTCTATATGCAGGGACATCTACACATGTGTAAACGTGAACTAGTGAATCCTGAAAATGATCACTAAACCCAATTCCCAGAAGGTAGCATGCAAGCCTCTATTATGAACTCATGGGTAGAACTTGTCCTGAAAACCGGATTGCTAGAAAAGGTGCCCAAAAGTTAATACACACGCATCTAATCTTATTTTTAACCGAAGTGGAATCATAACATTCCACCACACTTCCATAGTCGACACCCACGACGGCCCACTCTATCAACTCTAACCCAACGATAGTCCTTTTCAATTTTGGCAGCATCACTCACCGATCAATATTCAATCAGATAGCACTACGTCCATACAAAATACAAAGTTATCTTAATCCAACCTGTAGGTCGCCCTTGAAAGACTTGACCACATAAAGCCGCAGCTCATACCCCATACTCGATGCGGTGGCAATGTCTGATACCAATTGTAATGAACTCGTGGGGAAAATTTGCCACTAAAAACCAACTTAGCAGGAAATAGTGGCTAAGAGTTCATATCCACACATCTAGTCTTGTTATTAACTGATGTGAGATCGTAACAGCCTCAACGTTATTCCATCAATTAAATCAAACAAGCAATTGAATCCCTCCAATTTCTAAAATCTAAACAAAGCAATAAGCAAATATTCAAATTACATAAAAATATAGTAACAAAACCCTTATTCTCGGCAGATCTAGAACCAAAAAATGCACCATAACATCCAACATCTCTGCTATCACAATAATCTAAACAATCACTATCAACGGAAAGTATCAAATCAAAACCCTAAAATTCAAGACACATAAACTAAAATTACCGTTTGATGATCGGAGTTTTCCTTGTCACTATCCTCGCCGCCATTTCCATCTTCAGCAGCGGTGTCGCCGTCTTCACCGGCTGTAGACTGAGAGGCCTTGTTGTTCTTCTTCTGCTTCCTGCGCCTCCGGCGACGCTCGGTCTCGCGCGATTTCTTGGTGGCATTGACGTTGTTAGGGTTTTGAGGCTTTAAATCGCCGTTAGAGTACGAAAGTGTCTCTGCGACGCCGTTCGCTAATTCAACCGTCATGTTGATTCTGCGAAGAGAAGAGAGGGGTTGAGGGGTGAGATTTTAGATTTGAGAGCCAGACATTTATATGGGGGAAAGAGAATCGTGTGTGGGTGGTCATTTTGTAGACATCAAAAGGACTGATCTTTTATGAGATTGATGGTGGGTCCAAGTCGTACCAAATTCTATTACTACCGACAACTTTCATTTCGGATTCACTTAATTCAACTTATTTGTTTATTATTAATCCACGTCACGTGACAGTGATAAAATGATATAGATACATATTTATTTAGGATAAACATTCAAACGATATAGACGTGAAAATGATGCAACCAATTAGCAAAGATAAGAAATGTATCACGCTATTGTTGACACACACACGTGTCAAAGCTGAATAATTTATTTTTTATTTTTTTTACATCGTCCTCTATTTTAGTTGAAAGAGTTAATAAATTTAGAGAATAATAAGTTTGATAATCTCGCAAAAACTGTTTTTCAGATGAAGTATTCTAAGACTCTTATACCAATTCTTCTTGGACAATCTGGTGATAAAAAAATTCCTTAACTTTTTTATGGTTTATCATCCAAACTCATTCCATTTATACTAAAAAATTTATTGATTCTAAGACCGACAATAAATATCCCTCGTTATTATAAACCGATTTAATTAGTATCAAAAGAAAAAAGGACCCAACTTTTTTTTTCATTTCTTGATCTATATAATATGAAAATGTTGTAGATTAAATTGTTTGAGGTTTTGGTTCATTAAAATTTGATCCATGATTTTTAGTTTATGTTAACATATTATGCAATGGATTTGGTTGAGGGAAAAATAAGGTCTTGATTAGGGGTGTCAAACGTGTCGGGTTGGGTCATTTTGTATCAGGTTGATTTCGAGTTTATGTCGAAAATCCCAAAACACAAACTTGATATATTTAATAATCGCGTCGAGATGTGTAAACACTAACCTGACATGGGTATTAAACGAGTTACCCGAACCTAACATATTTGACATGTTTAATAAATAGGTTGTTTTCGGGTTAATACACATTACATAACTTGTTTAATCTGTTTAATACTCATAACATGTTTTCACACATGTTCATTATTATTAATACACTATTCAATCATTCATCCAAAATTTCAAATAATTTTTTAACCAATAACATATCACATCTCATCAATGAAATTAACTAAAATATATTTATCCAAAAATTAAAGCAAGAGTTATACTATTATAATGTCATAATAATATTAAAAACTATACTGTCAATTATCATAATAGAAGTAATAACTAATAAGTAACAATGTTAAATACTACATCGGTCATACATAATAGACAAATTATACTGGCATAAACGGGTCTACAATGAGTTAGGTTGGGTTCATGTCCGAATCATGTCAACCCGTTTAAAATATATAGGTTAATCAAGTCAAAATCAGGTTGACCTGATTTTGAGATGAAGTCAACATGATTTTTTTTGTGTTTAAACGTGTTGATCCATTTTTACCCATTGATCCGTTTAATTTCGTATTTGATTCGTGTCGTGTCGAAAATTGACACCCCTAGTCTTGATGTTCTAGTAAACATACTAATATGACATGAATACGATATTTGGGATGGAGTTTCGAATATCCCAAAATGATAGATGAATTAAAATCAAAGAAATTAAAGAAATCAAGAATAATTGATTATACTTTCATTTATCAATAGATATGTATGTATTAATAAGTAAATACTATTGTGAGTATGTTTCATTCTATTACTAAAAAATAAATAAATTACCATAAGCATTAACATCATAAGTAACAATCTACTCCACATTTATATTATTCTCTGTTATAATTATGCTAACATCTCAAAACATAGGAAAAGTTACATAGTAAAATTCTAAAATGTCGTGAGGGTATCGTACTGTCTGTGCAATATATCACAAATTTCTATTAAAACTTGCACACTTCAATATGGCAGAGCCAATCAAACCTGTAAACAATTCGAGTCTAGTCAGAGACAAGGATTTTGCAATACATAAAATGTATAATCCTCGAGAAACCCATAAATTTTGATATTAGAACGTCAATCAAAGAATAGGAATCCCAACAAATATCGATCAACATTTTTGTAGAGTTTGAGCATCATACCTATGGACAAAATAGTATTTTCTCGTGTGTTATGAGTTTCACTTAAATTCACGAAGAATAATTTTTTTATTTATTTTTTTAACTAAATTAAGATAGTTTTAAAACCTGTGATCCAAGTCCTACTCGACTTATGAACTTGAATTAATGCCCAAACCGAGTAAAAGAAAACCCGCACAAACAGGCGTTCCGTTGTTGTCAGGTTAGTTACACCTTACAACTTTTCCTACAATTTCGTTAGTTACCCAGTTAAGGAATTTCGTCAAAAACAAAGGTTAGTTTAGTCATTTCACTTGCTCCAGTTCTGTTAACTCAAGCATTGTGGCAAGATATGATTGGTCAATTGACGAATAGCTTAGTGTTGAACTGCAGGGAACGCATTTTTCGACATTTTACATTCTTTCGGAAAACTACGTATAACCCGATTTTAGTCCATTTCATATTACAGTGGGACCCACTACCTCCGCCCCCTACACCCAAAACCACCAATCCCCCCCTCTATCTCTCTCTAAAATGTCCAAAAAAAAGACCATGAAAATGTTCCCCAAAGGAATTTCCATACTTGAGACCTTTCAGACATTGATCTAGCCATATGCTCTCTCTTCTTAATTAGGCCAGGTCTTGTCTTCATCATCTCTTCTCTGATATACGACAATCAATTTTGATGAACTCAAAATTAGCTGGGCCAGACCCAATAAAAATAAACCAAGAGGGGCCCAAATGATCATCATCCAGAAAGGAGCCCAACTCATCAAGCACAAAAAGAGATCAAGAAGTCAATGCCCAAGGGATGAAGCAAGGGGCATCGCCCAAGGGGTCACCCAAGGCCTGGGCATCGCCCAGGGGCTGGCTCTCCTGTTCCACCTTTGCCCTCTTGACTTTGTCACTCTAATTCAAGTCCAACCCAGCTCATGGTCTTCCTCCGACTAAATAGGAGCACGAGGGAGAGAATATCGGAATACGCACGAAAATCTAATCTTACCTTAATTATACTTACCAAAATAGTAAAAGTTTTCTCCCTCTCTTCACCGTCTTACTAAACCTATATAATGTAAGCTCTCTCTACATAAAGGGCATGACCTTGAGACTTCACACCTATCTCTCTACACACATTGTCCCTCTCTCTCTTCCAAGCTTTGTAATACACCCGGAGTTACTCTCCCGGTTACCTTATTCATCAATAAAACAGCTTCGGTCACCGCTGTCGTTCCCGAGAGTGGAGTAGGTCACCCGGACCGAACCACTATAAATTTGAATGTTTGCTCTAATTTATTGCTTTATCATTAATTGTTTGTTTACTACCTATTAATTGCAGTCAAACATATTCTTGAATGTTGATTTTGCGCAATACCAATTTGTGCATCATCAGTTTGGCGTCTGCTGTGGGAAACGACTAGTTTTCTTACTCTCTTTCATTCCATGACAATTACTACCAGATCAATGAGTCAAAAATCGGGAGACAATAACCCAGCCCACCGGGAGGAGGCACCACCTCCCTCCGCACCCTCGAAACCATCTACAACTGCGACTGGACAACAACAACAACTTCTATAGACTATGCAACTGCTGGTAAAACAGAACCAGTAGATCATCTAGTTGATGCTCGTCCAGGGAGGCACAACCCCTTATATTGCAGTGGGAGCCCCATTATCTCCAACAAGAGAGGAGTAGCAGCCCATCCCTTTTGGGCGCTAAGCAGCCCCTTGCCAGAACGCCCCAAGGCCACATCAAAGCGTCCCTCGCCCAACTATCCCTCCTCAGCGCACAGGGAGCTCACATGTACCCCCTCTATGAAAACCAATACCACCACCCGATAGAGGATGTCCCCAATCAGTGAGACGAGAAGATTAGAGAGGTGCAAAACCAACTTGGTAATGCCCTCAATGCCATCAAGGCACAGGTGCTTAAAACTGTGGATTACCTAGTAAGACATATTGATATACCATTTGTTGCTGACATAGTCAATTACCCCTTATCCTCGAAGTTCAAGATGTTTGTCATTGAGATCTTCGACAGTACCAAAGACCCCCTCGACCACCTGGACACCTACAAATCCCTCAAACAACTCCATAACGTGCCTGAGAAGATTATGTGTAAATCCTTCCCTACCACCCTCAAGGGATTCGCACGCCAATGGTTTGCTAAGATCAAGTCCTCATCATTTCACTCCTTTACGAAGTTGAGCATATCCTTCGTTTCCCACTTCATTGGGGGGTGCCGACATCAGAAATCAGTGACCCACCTACTCACCATCAAGCAGGACAGGGATGAAAGTCTCGAGGAGTACCTCACCCATTTCAACAATGAGGTTTTTCAAATTGAGGAGCCAGACGATAAGGTATCCCTGGCTGCCTTTATCTCTGATTTTTGCTCCTCTAGTTTTATGTTCTCCATCCTCAAGAAGCCTCCCTCCAACATGCCCGAGCTGCTGTCAATGGCACAGAAGTACATGAACGTCGAGGATGTCACCAAGGCCAACCGAGGTAAGTCCTCCTATGGAGGCGAAAAGAGGAAGGACACCCGTGAGGACAAGCGGGAAACAGAGAACAAACAGGAATATAACAGAGAGAATCTCTGTCAAGGACCGCCTTGATTCCCTACCTCTAAGAGAGCGACAAGCATTCACGCCGCTTAATACTTCTGTGGAGCATATCATGTTCCAAATACAGGATGATCCTACAGTACGCTAGTCAGAGAAGATGAAGAGCGCCCCGAACCAGAGGAGCCCGAACAAGTATTATCGTTTCCACCGTGACCACAGCCATGATACTAACAATTGCTTTGATCTTAAAAGGCATATCGAAAAGCTTATACAGTGTGACCAATTGAGGCAGTAGGTTGCTAGTAGAGAACAAGTCCCGCCACCTGGTCGAGATCAAGACGACAGAGAATGCCAACAACCCCTCGGAGAAATCTAGACAATCTCTTGAGGGTTAGGAGTAGGAGGCGACTCCAACTCTACCAGCG